TCGTCGTTGTTTTAGAATCATACAGACATACATATGAATAAATCGGATATATGTATGTGCTATATATGGCTGGCTCGCGAGCCGTGTCGTCTTTTCTGTATGTGCTGAGGTGGTGGCTTAGCCTAAAAGTGCGCTACGCTTTTTGCTACTTTCGTACTTTCTGTAATGGTGACGTTACTATCGATTCAATCGGCATTCCCGTTGCATACTTCTGTGCGTTGAACAATAATCGGTGCTCATGCTTTTAGTGAACCGTTAGTTGTTATTGTAATTGCTCTTTTGTTTATTTTGTATATCTTTTGTTGTTGCTATATTATTGCTTTTATTTGCTGTATTGTTGTTGGTTTTTCGATTTTAGATTTTAGCTTTATGTGATGCTTTCATTAAACACACAATTACATGCCAGTTCGGTGCATTACTAGACGCCATTTTGTTTACTATTTAGTCGTATATGTATATATAATATATATAGTGGAATAGTGTGGCTATTAGTCGGTATTTGCTTTGATTTGATTAGTTGATTAGTTGTGTTGCGGCGTTTTCGTTAATAATTGGAAAGTGTGGCTATCATGCGGCAGTGCAGGACATTCAAAGGGGAATTCTGGTGCACTATAAAATTGAGAAGATACCCTGCTATACTAAACATATACAAGTATATTGCTATAACAAAAAAAAAAAAGATTATAGATATCGTGCAAGTGATTTAGAAAACCGTGCGTTTTTCCAGAACAAGGGAGTATTTCCATAAGCATTTCCTGCGTTTCTTTACAATATTTGAGTTTATTTTACAACTTTCTGAACTGGTTCTTCTTGCAACTTCTAAACTTTTTTATTTAATCAATAATAGATGTGCAGTACTTTCAGATTGATTTTTAGTTTTGCAAGCATACAAATTAATTCTTCTTTTCAAATCAATTAGATCTAATCAGAATCATTAAAGTTGGATTTATAATTTTTAATGTGTAATATTACTATGTTAGTATGGATTTTAAAATCAAATTTCGATTAGAAAATGCATAAAAATGGGTATTTCTAATTATATATTGATAATATCATCTTGAAACATTGTACATCTATTCACAACATAAGACTTTAATGTATAATATGGAAGAAAAGCAAAATACTTTTTATGTTTGGAAACTATAGATAAGTACATACATGCATTAAGTCGAAATAAGTCTGAAACTATGGTCAGACAGGCAAATAATTTGCACGCAAATCTGTTGAGTGTTACAAGTATGTCGTGAACATCGTGACTACTTTGCGAAATATTTTTTAAAGCAACACATTTGTAAGATAATTATTTGCATGTATGACCATAGCTTTAATCTTTTGCTTTTTAAAATGTATTTTGTGTTTTCCAAACAACTATTCAGTCTGCTATGGACATAATACATAGGATTTTCCCCTAAAAGAGAACTATTGAGACATGTCCAATCGTTTGACTATATCTTTATCTTCCTTTAAATCATCTTATCAAAATAATAGATTTCTCTTTCTATAGCTGCTTAAGATGAACTCTAAGAACTTAGTTTACAACACAAATAATAATTAGTTTGTATTTATCTGAGATGTCTTTATATCTTTCTGCTTGCAATATTATGTTTGATGTGCTTAAGTGTGTGTGTATGTGTGTCCACAACATCTTGACATATATTGGCAGTGCGTGACAGAGGCGGCTTCAAATGTCCCATAATAAAAATATATATATGTGCAATAAATCAATCAGCAATCAACGACGAGTAAATATTCGAATGTGAGACGCATACCACCGCCCCCACCTAAACGCATCTCCCCCACACTCATGGGCATGGGGAGGGGGTGATAGATGATGAGGACAATGCCACCATAAAGAGCCACAGGCTTTGGACTCGTTAAATGTTTCAGTCGGCCGTGAATAGGTTTTGGTTGCAGGCCAGGAAATGTTATACAACAACAGATTAAGAGGACGAATGTGTATAGAAATATGAGTGGAAAACTGTTTCACTCAGTACATATAAAGGACAGGTGTGTGAGTGTGTATGTGTGTGTGTGTGTGGGAATATTAATTTCGCATGCATGTATGTATGTACATATGTATATAAATATATACTTAAGGACTTTTAAATCTGTATGTATGTATGTGCAGACATTTTAATGATTTTATATTCAGGCTAGACGTGAGAAAAGCAAAAATTGAAATATGTAAATAAGCACTTGGCATACATTTTATAGAAATGGAAATTATTCACTTTTCTGTTTACTATTATTTCCACTAGTAGTAGTATATATTTTAAAAGCACGAGGAGCTCGCGAGAAGTTGGCACTTGCCTTATATAACGTTTGGCACAGACGACGACTGACGACGTTGAAAAGGACAAACTAAAAATTGCCACTGAATAGAAATTTGATGACGCGCAGGACAACGACGACGAGGCGCGCTCTAGACGTAATACAGACGGCGGCAAAACAGTTCCGGAAATGGATTTCTTAGCGGGAGCAAGCAAATCCTTATCCTTGGCTTCTGCCACCCATTGTTTTCCAAATGCACATATTAACAACAACACAAAAAAGAAAGACGAAAAAAAAACAGCCAAAGAACTAATCAAGCGTCTGCGAACGTAACGCAACACAACGCAACGTATTAATTGAAGGATAATGCGTAACGTGACGCGTGCCTTTCCCAGAAATCGTGGGCGCAACACGAACACTACAAAGCACGCCGTGAAACTGTTGAACAGCAATCGGTGTCCTTTGCAGGAGTCCTCGAAGCTTTGGCTGTGCGAGCGCCCGCGCACTTATCACATTGTGTCTGAGCTAGAGAGAAAGGGAGCGAGAAAGAGAAAGAGAGAGAGAGAAAGTGTGCTAAGGCAACAGCTCGCAAAATACACGTCACAGGAGGTTATATGGAGGATACATTGTGTAAACATAAAATCAGAATCAAACGCAAGAGTCGTACGACTGCGACTTTCAAAAACACTACTTAAAAAAAAAAAAAAAAGTATTTATAGAAACTAATTATTTTTAGTTCAATAATTTTTGGTAAATATTGTATAATATATGAATATTTATTTTATTTATAAAATAAATTATTTTTGTAGAAAATTTTACCCATTTCTTTTATATAACAAATTTCTGCTCGCTTTTCTAGGACTGAGCAAAAATGTAATATTAAATTAATTAATTTACTATTAATTTAATTTATTTCTGAGATTCTTGCGTTCATACAGGCACTTCATCTATACTTTGTTCAGTCTCCCACGCTTCCGCCTGTATGTTACATGCATTAGCTCTCAACTAATAATACCCTTTTATCCTTAATGCGTAGTGTATATGACACAGAAAACAATAAAATGGGACCAATTGTCAAACAGCTGTTGGTCGTGGGTAGGTGTTAGGTTCAAAAGTCAAGCACTTCAAAAAAAAAAAGATCTACCTTGCAAAAAACAAACAAAAATGTTAATTAATCTAATATTTCTGTTGCTTTATTTTATGTGTTTGTGTTTGTTTTAACGTATTTTCATTGATTTTCATGCTGCTCGTTTATCGCGATCTGGCAGCACAACCGGCATTTTTCGATAGTTATTGTCTGGTCTATCGATTTATTTTAAACACTGCAACGGCTAGTTGCATGCGATAAGAGTGCAACCTTTGCCAAAATTTGCATAATTAACCCAATCGTAGCAGGTGGGAGAGTGCTCCAAGCGCCATGGTGTTTAAGTGTCAGGAGGACAGCTTCCTGAAACAGGCAAGTCACCAATAAAATCTCACAGCACGTTCCAAGTTGACTTCGTTCCATACTGGTCGCCATTTCATCCTGCAGTATCAGACCACAGTCGTTAGCTGTGACTATGCGACTCTGGACTGGTCGGGTGATGCCAACACTCCGGCGGGACAGCTGCGCGGTTTCAATGTAGTCTGCGAGAATACAATTCTGTTTCCGGAGGGTGGTGGCCAGCCTTGCGATTACGGCACCATCAATGGCCAAAAGGTGCGCAATGTCATTCGCAAGGGCAGCACGGCTGTGCACTTTGTGGAGGCAACCGCCAGTTTCGAGGAGGGGGCCGAGGTGCAGCAGCGTCTCGACTGGGAGCGCCGACTGGATCATATGCAACAACATTCGGGACAGCATCTGATAACAGCGCTGTTCGATCGCGAGTTCAAATACGACACAACATCCTGGTCGTTGGGCACAAGTGTGTCTTACATTGAGCTGGCCACCCCGCATCTGATCAGTCGCGAGTCTTTAGATCACATTGAGCGACAGGCTAATGATCTGATACGCGAAGGACGTGCCGTAAACGTGCTACTCGTCGACCCGGAGCGAGCGCTGGAGTTTCAGGATGCGCGGGCACCTCGTGGCCTGCCCAAGGATCATGAAGGCGAAGTGCGTGTGGTGCGCATCGAGGGCATCGAGAGCAACATGTGCTGTGGCACTCACGTCACCAATCTCTCCCAGCTCCAGTGCATAAAACTGCTCTACGCTGAGAAAAGCAAATCCAATGTGCTCGTCCACTTTGTGGTCGGCGAGCGTGTGCTTCGCAAACTAGGCGAGGTCTTCCAACGTGAGCAACAACTGACAGCAGCGCTTAAGTAAGTCAGATAGAGCGCGACTTATATAATCATATTTTGTTATAATTATTGTGCCATTTGTTCAGAGGCGGCGCCCCTCAGCATTTGGAGTTGGTGCAGAAGCTGCAGCAGAATGTTAAATCGACCCGCAAATCCTTCCAGCAGCTGCTGAAGGACTTTGCCAATGCCGAAGCGGAACGCCTGGAAAACTTGCCAGCAGCTATGCGTCCTAAATTCTTTGTCCTTCATCGTCGCGATGGCATCGAACCGGACTTTATAAACACCTTTCTGCGCAACGCGCCGGAGGGCATTCTCTACCTTCTGACCGTATGGGAGCCAGTGGCTGCCGGCAGCAGCGCCAAGGGCCACATGGTACTGCGTGGCGATCCGGATCTGGTGGAGAAATTTGGTCCACAATTCCTGGATCTACTCGATGGCAAGGGGAATGGCAAGGAGGGAAACTTCCAAGCCAAAGTCAACAACATAACCCGTTTGCAGGAGTGTGCGGCGCTGCTAGAAACACACTTTAAGCCCAAGAAACCACAAACACAAGCACAAACGGATGCGGCTAGCGCCTCCTAAGTATTGGGGGACAAGTAAATTTTGTAAAATAAATATATAGTTTGTACTTGTTAATTGCATTCGCTTATATTAACTTGTAATAAGAAAAAACAGAAGTAACTAATAACATCGCCGCCACCACCAGTGGCTGGCGGCTGGCAGTTCGTCTAAGCTATCCATCCACTCATCTATCACAGATAGTTGACGTCGTAGTTGCGCATTTTCCACTTGAGGCGCCAGAACTGATTCCAGAAGCCCACATCAATGACCCGCTCATGAAAGTTCCAAATGCTCACGGAGGTGTATTCGCATATGGCCGGATATGTGCAGTCATCTGCATCGTAAAGATCGACCCAAACCAAAGTGAAGATGCCGAGGGGCAATAGACGCAACTTATTCTGATTGATGGCGCGCTCCAGCATGAGTAAATAGTTGGCAGAGACAGGATTCTGTTGCTTCATTGCCACTGTTATCATGCGATTTGATTGATGGCGCAGCTGTGTCATGAATGCCTCCTCGCCGGGATTGCGAGCGGCAGCCTGGTAGAGGGCGACAATGCCGGTCCCATAGAACAGTGCCTTTTTGGGCTTCGCATACGATTCCTTCACCACGCCCACAGCGACCTCTGAGTAGTCGCGCACCAGTCCTTTCCAGTATGTTGTCCACTTCTCCACAAATGTGCCTTTGAAGCGTTCGGGTAGTGTGAATTTCTCGCCGATGCGCTGTTGCAGCGCAAGGACACGACTGCCCACGACACGCATCTCGTACAGCAGCCCACGATAACGTGTGGGTTTCACTTATAAATTTAAATTGCGTCAACAAAAACAAGACACAGCTTCTGCTATACTAATGTTTTTTAGGTTAGCGCTGACAAACAGCTGTGCGCGTCAGTGCTGCCAGAATTTTGTTTAGCTTATGCGGCCACCATTAGCCGGTGATTGAGAAGTAAATGAATAATTTAATTTAAAGCAAATACATACTTGCTGATCAAACAAAAAATATGTGTAAATATAACACAGTGGCAAAAAAAAGAAAAAAAAAACTATTACAGTATACAAGTAATTACACCACTGTAAAGAGTGGCAGCGCCGTGCAATATGCTGCCAGATTGGGACAACAGCCAAGCACGCTATTTTTTAAGCTTTATTTATTTTTATGGCACTAGCGGCGGAGCGTTACGAGCACCACAGAAAACAGCTTGGTGAACTGCTTCAAGCTGCCGCCCTCCTCATAAAGGCACACGAAACCGGGCTTTATGACGAGGCAGGGGAACTAGGCACGCAGGCCAGCCACCTATGGGAGCTGAGTCAGCGGCACAGACTGGTGGTTGGGTAAGCGGGATGAGTTAAGCTCATGCGGCAAATATAAGTAAAACAGACGCCACTACTATTCCACAGGAGTAACAATGCAGCAGCAGCTACGTTGTTTTCGGCCTGCAATGATGTATTCCAACCGCTTTACGAGCGAATGTGAGTAGAGCGCGGCGGCCCACACAACTTTAAAATTCAAGCTAAGCTTCTGGTGAACTCTTTTAGCCTAAAGCTGGACGAAACGCTTGCTGAAATCAGGAATGCCGTCTCGGATTTCGAGGTGCAATGCCGGGAGCTGCAAGCAGAGCAAAACGCGCCAATCAATGAAGCACTCGCTAAATGCTTGGCATGGCTATTGCAAACGCAATCGGTGCTTCAGAGCCAGGCCAAGTACCTGGAGCTATATGCACGTGGATTGACGCCGACACTAGTGCAGCAAGCAACTGTGGACCAATTCAAAAGAGAGCTGCAACTGTCGGAACAACAGAGAGACCGAATTCTTCTGGGATTGGCACTGGCCGAGCAGCGTACTGCAAGTGTCCATCTGCTGTCGGAGCTAGTGGCAAGCTGACAAAGGATATATTCCCTATTCTCACTTCAAAGTTGCAGGCATTGCAAGGCGAACATTTTGTTTACCGCATTGGCTATTATCAGATTAACACAAGCACTCGAAAAAAAAATAAAAACAAAAAAAATAAGACGTATTTTTTAGCACTTAAATACTTGAAATTTATTTAAAATGCTTTTGCATTTAATCATTTTTGCGTGTAGTTGGCAACTAAAAAAAAAGTTTAATTTGTCTGCTGTTGTTGTGGTTTGTCGACTAGCGTGTCGGTGTGTTGTTGTTGTTGTTGCCGCCACCTAGTAAATAAGAACAATTATTATTGAATTTTCCAAGGGTATACATGATGTTGCACCTTACCTTATTCTAAATAAATTTCAAGCATTCCACCAAAACAGCGCCAACCCGGCACTGATCCTTTAGCGCAATCTTCTGGCTTCGCGTTCCGATTCGAGCAGCGTCAAAATATCGCCCTCGCGAACTGGACCCTTAACGTTGCGAATAATCTGACGGTTCTGTTCGCCAAGGAACTCAACCTTGACCTGTGTACATTGGCCCTGGGAGCCGGTACGGCCGAGAACTTTCATGACACGAGCCCAAACAACTGGTTTATCCATGGTTTTTTATTAGTTTTGCCGCAGAAAATTCACGTGCGAGATGCGCTTCAAATGACAGCAGCGATCAAAAAGGAAGTTGGCTGGTTGTGGGCAAATCAACGTGAAGTTGGCTGCGCTGTGTTCCTGGACCAGTGTGCAAAAACAATGCAAGCGAGCTGTCAAACGGAATGTTTTTTCGGCTAGCATTACGATTTTAATGAAAAAAAGTGCAATATTTTAGTGAAAATATTCAGAAATCTCTTTTACTATATCAATTTTAATAAACATATTGAAGTCTCAAAGCGATTTCAAATATTGTTGACGGTTGTGGCAGTTGCCAGCACTAGACGCATCGCCAGTATTGCCACACACTGAAATGTAGTATTAATTTTTGTTAAAAGTTGTACGAAAGAGTTCTTAAATGCAATAGAAAGAGTAGTAATAATTGAATTGTTGCAGTTGGATGAATGCGCTTTGTAAAATTGATTGAAATGAAATAATTGTATTAAATTTGAATTGTTGGCGGCACTTTATCAAACCAGTTGGCAACTCTCGCTGTCATTTGACGCGGCACCACGTAGACCAGAAATTTGACAGTGAAAGTCGTTCGTCAACGTCTTCGTGTATCGTCGGCTGCTTTGGTATTGTTGCTCCCTCACATCACTCTTCTAGCTTCACTCCAACGCGTCGGTTGGCGATACTGTTGGACGTTGTCGTCGTCGTCGTCTCTATTTTCTTCGTTCTCCGGCCCAAGTGGAAGGCATTAAATAAAATATTATTAAATATGAAGAACCTAATGTTCCTGTTGCTGCTGGTGCTGCCCACAATCATATGCACATTCACAGCACGTAAGTACTTTTTGCTCGTATTGCTGTTGCTGTTGTTGTTGCTGCTGCTACTGTTGCCGACGATGAAGCGGCGACGTGGCATTGCAGCAAACGGCCGCGATTTCGACCTTTATTTATGAAAAACAGAAAGTGCAGTCAAAGGCTCCGGCTGGAGATTTGGACTGGGCTTGGAATGTTCGGGTCTTATTGTTAATTCAACTCTGGCATTGGGTTGGAAAGTGTTGCGTTGGCAAGACTTGGCCTAAATGTGTGCAGCACAAAAACGCTCGCCTGTTGCTGTCCCGCTTACGCATATTGCATCTCTCTCTCTCTCTCTCTTATCGTTTTCACGCAAATGCAGCAAACAAGCTGGGCGCCTATGCGGCCGAGTCCGCTGAGGACGACCTGGTGGATGTGGACAGCGAGGATGGCGCCGTCACTGGCGAGGATGCGGAAACAGATGAGGATGCGGATAGTGGGGGCAGTAGCACATCTCCCTATGCCGATACCTATCTTCTGTTTACCAAGCCCCTCTATACGTCTGGCCAGCAATTCGATCTGCCCGGTGGCAAGCCCGTGGAATTCCTGATCGGCTTCACGAACAAGGGACAGGAGGATTTCGTCATTGAAACTGTGGAGGCCTCGTTCCGCTACCCCATGGACTTTAACTACTTTATACAGAACTTCTCGGCCGTCGCCTACAATCGTGAGGTGAAGCCCGGCTTTGAGTCGACCGTTTCATACACTTTCCTGCCCTCGGATCAGTTTGCCGGCCGTCCCTTCGGTCTGAACATTGCCTTGGCCTATCGCGATGCCAATGGCATTCAATACAGTGAAGCCGTTTTCAACGAAACCGTGCTCATCTCCGAGGTCGACGAAGGTCTGGATGGCGAGACCTTCTTTCTCTACCTGCTGCTGGCCGGCATTGTCGTCCTGCTACTGGTCCTTGGCCAGCAATATTTGCTGGGCTCCTCTGGCAAGCGCAAGCGCGCCGCCGCCAAGAAGGTAATCGAAACGGGCACCGCCAACGACAGCACCATTGACTATGACTGGGTGCCTCAGGAGACGCTTAGGGCGCTACGTGAGTAGAAATTGTGTGCATTATGAAGCTTTCAAGTATTTGCCTAACTCCCGCCTCTCATATCATCACAACAGAGAAATCATCGCCCAAGTCAAAGACGCCAAAGACCTCGCCAAAGCCGGGCAAACAGGCCAGTCCCAAGGCAGCAAGCCAACAGAGTCCCAAGCAGCGCAAGGTGAAGCGCTCCGCGGGTGACGATTAAAGACTGAGCCAGACAACCAACTGGACTCAATACTACCAACAACAATGCACATCCAGACACACACACACACACACCCACACATCTGATATCCCAAGACACACATACCAACACATCTATGCATAGAAGAGGAGGGCATACAAGTTTCGTAGACGCATTCTCGCGTTCAAGTTTTCTTTTATACACTACGATTTTTTTGTCGCTAATTAATTACTATGATGATGGTGATGATGATGATCATGATTTTTAACAATTATATAGAGAGATTGTTAGTGTTTAGCACGCATTCGAGGGGGCCGCGTTGTTCAAATTTAAATTCAACGTTATGTTTGTTTTTTTTTTTTAAATCATATCTTCTTTTTTTTTTCTTGGAGAGAAAAATTTCGCGAACTGCCACTCTTATAAACATACTCCTTGTCCTTGCATCGTGGGTCACGGCATCGCTACCTTTTTCTGTCTTCGTTTGTTGAAGACGCCCCAATAGGCGAGTACGTGACTGGCGACGCTCTCTGGATTGCACTCAGAGGAGAGCTCGACGCGTGAGCCGTTTTCCAACTATAATTTAATGTAGCATATTATTATAAATTAATACATACATGTAAACAATATATATTTTTTTTGTACAAAATCCAATTGTTCGGGTTGTCATCGAGTTCCAGAGATGTTAAATTTGATTAGCTGGTAAAGCTTTTAAGAGATAATGTGAGCAGAAAAAAACTTGAATAATAAAAATCGAAAACACTTAACTGATGTTTTGCTGTAAGATATATACTTGTACATACATATATATCTATTAGCATTAGATGTGTTAAAGGTTAATTGACAACTGGGCCAACAATTTGTTATCTTCAGTATCCAGTTAGTATTACGATGCACCAAGCTATAAAACATATTGGAATTTGTAGCTATGGCATCTTGTTTTTAGTGTTCGCATCCAAATTTATCTTTTCGGTTGAAATAGATTTAGAAAAAATAAAGTTGTCACAGCATGTCTGCCAAATCGGGCTGTGTTTTCGCCGCAACTTTACGAAAACCATTTTTAATAAATCAAAAACCTGTATAGAAACTATGAGTCAATTAATTGTATCTCAATTTCATGAATTACGTGTCAACCATCGATCTTGTGACGTCATAACGGTCCTGCGTTATGCGTCTCCTTCTTATTGGTGCATGAGAGCCGATCTCTTCTTCAAAAGAAAGACTGAAACTTTATTCGTTCGCTTGGGAGAATGAGAGAAAAGGAATGAGTGCTCGGGGTGAGAAGAGATTTGTTGATGGACGTGAGAATTCTTAGGATTTGAAACTCTTTAGCATTGTGCTCAAAGATTAAAGCTGAAAGTGTTGGAATACCTTTATTGAACTATGAATTGTACATGTTTTATACTTTTTAACACGAAAAATTAATTTAGTCATTCAGACCTAAATAAAATTTGTACCAAACTATCCTCTTTTTTTGTTATTAAATCATTAATTTTTGACCGTTTCTAAGAAAAAAGAATACCAAATACGTTTTGTGGAATGCTATATTAAAATTAACGAACTATTTGCCATGGTTACATGGTAAGATATAATTCACGACCGCTTACTCCCAACGTCGCTTCTTCATCGGCGGCTCATCATCTGATGGGTCTCCAGAACGCTTAGGAGCCGCTTTGTGCTGTGTGGGATCTGGAATTTCTTCATCGCATTTGTTTTCATCTTCACCATTGCAGTTTTGTTTGCTCAACTTGTAGGTAACCTTCTCGGTGACAATCTCAAAGACCGACGAGCTAGATGAGCGACTAGGCAGACTTGATTCGCTTGAACTACTCGATGAGGTAGAAGCCATTCGGCAATTCGGAAAAACCGAGCCAATGGGAAAAGTGGTTTGTTCGACGCTGCCATCACAGCGTAAAACCACGATGTTTATGTTGTCGCCCGAATTCGGATCGCTTCCAATGCCGGCGGCCACCGCCTGATAGACAACCTGTAATGCATCGAGCTCTGCTAAGTTCCTCCTCCACTGGGCCTCGAGGACCGCCATGGCTGCCAGAAGGCCTGAGCCCAAGCTTGCAAAGGGAATCCTTTCGGAACAGCCCTCAAACCAGGTGCAATAAAGCTCCGCTTTGCCTTTCGAGACTCCCCCAATCAACAAATTGGCCATAATATTCCCATTATAACGGAAAAGGGTCTTCCTCGCAAATGTATTGGCACAGATCACAGGCACCGGTCGCTCAAGCTCCAAATAATGCAGCCTCATTTGGGACTGAAGCAACCAGACAATCGAAGCAACATCGGCCGATATACCCGCAGCCCCGCAACTGCAAAGATATGGAAATTATATACATTCTGAAGTATTCAATGGAGAGATCAAATCTGACCCCAAACCGAACCAATTCAATGTGTTTTGATTTCACTTAAAGGTATTTCTCATTATGTCTTTTTAAGATCTCAGTACTTGTATTCTCAGAGAGCAGCTCTGACTCGTGTTGTAATCAAGAAGAAGCACGGCGAAGAAGAGCTTTACTTTGGTGTGATTTTTCTTTAAGGAATCTATTTTTATGAATTTTGTTTAGTATCTAAATTGCCTCAGAAACATCGTACAAATATCACGCAATCACCACAATTTTGGAGATCTTTTTGATATACTTGTATATGCTAAACTTTTCCCCGAATGGAAAGGAGTTTTCTTCTCTTGTACTCACTATATATTATTTTGTAGACGATGTATCTTCTGGCTCTGATGCGATATCATAACATTATCATATGTAGCTTGCTCATCAGAGCCCAGTATGACGCCATCTTTGTAAAGTAAGCCCACAATAGTGCTTCCGGTAGTGAAGGGCTTTGGCTCTTCAAACCCCTCCTTTTTGAGGAATGTGTTGCTATCCGTGGATACGCTGAGGCTTAGAAAATCGGAGAATGCAAAATCTATGGCTTACTTACCGTCTAACGTTATCAAAGTTAAAGCCTGAAGCATTCGACATTTCGTTAAATTATTTTTTGTTGTGCACAAATGTAGCTAGAAATATAGTATATATATAATATAATATGACTTAAAACTGAGCACTCACTAACTGTAAAAAAATGCTAATTAAAAGTTTTGAGTTTAGGAGACTTTTCTTTGAACAACGTAATTTACTGACCTATAACATCTATAACATCCATTTTTGGGATGTACGTTTGTATAGCCTCATTATTCTCTATTGCTGTTCTAGAAATGATCACTTTTTGAATGTCGATCTTTGCTGTGAATCGGGACATAGCTGGCCGTTTGGCAAATAAAATTCCCCCACCGAGTCGGATTCGTTATTAGATATTTTTGTTATATCTTTAGGCTTTGTGTATCTTTAGTTTTATCTAGTATAAGTTCTGTATTGTTTTGATTTTTGTTCTTTTTTTCTCTCAAATCGACAGCTATGTTTGTCGATAAAATAAAATAAATAAAAGAATAAAATGAAATGGCTATCAAATTTAACATTGATGTGCTTTTGTTTCATCAATATCGGGGCTTTAATTTAGTAGTTGAATTCCTTTTTGTGCTCGATCATTCAACATATTTCCATTCAGTCATGTTAAAAAAGGCTTATTAAAATAAACAGCCACTTGAACTTCCAAAAAACGCTATAATATCTAGCGAAAAAATAGCTAAGCTGGCAACACTGTTCCTCTACTCACAATTGCTTGCAAATAAATGCAACAAATAAATACAATAACAATTATACAATAAAATATGCAACTCAAAAATAATATGAAACATTGTTAAAATAACATGTATATTTGCATTTAACACGAAAAGTATAAAACATAAATAAAACAAATGCATTTGTTCTGCATTTTTCAATTCGCCCTTTCATTTGTTTTCGCTGTCTGCGAATATGAAACCCAATTGGTATACACTGTTATACTACACTGTCATACGAGTTTGTGTAAATGTACGCAAAAAATTTACAAATTAAAAAAAAGCAATTAAATAATGCTTACATGCACATGCACATTTTCAAAAGATTTTATAATTTATTGTATTTATGCACCAAACAATTCACAAATCACATTCACAATTAAAAAATAGAAAATTCACTCACGCTCAGGCGACAATATAACGACATACTTATACTAATTTAGTATACTTTTTAAATTAAGAATTAAAACATTTATTAATGGTTTTGCGTAGCTAAACAAACACACACACGCAACGCGACGAAGGAAATAAAAGACAAAGCAAATCAAATTTGTATCTAACGGTGAAACAACATGGCTGTAGACAGAATACAAAGAGGGTTTCTTATATAATATTTCTATAATAAATAGGTGTATTTATTTGTATATTTAATTAATTATAATTAATTTAATTTGGTAAATTAATTGTTACTCTTAATTTTATGAACAACAGTTCATTAAAACACATCACATCCGAATACATATCACAGTAATTCATGCAGTTTTTCAAATTTTATTTTATTTATTATTTATAAAAATAAACATAAATGTTAATTTTATAATTAAAGCAATTAAATATAAAAGACAACTGAAACCTCTTTTGTCATGATCCTTGCTACGCCCATACCAATGTGCGAGCTGAATAAATTGATTTACAGTTATCATTTTTGATTCTTTGCTTTCGCTTTTGCATTCGTTAAGAGAAGACTGCTTGCAGCTGCAGTTCAAGGCTCAGTTTTGCGCGTTAGTTTGAGCGCGACGCGTCGAAAATTACAGCGGAGTGTTTGCATTAAACATTAAATATTAGTAAAATTATGCACAAATTGTGTGTATTTTCTACAAATGTAAAAGAACTATTTAGTTCTGTTGCAAAAAATATGTAAGTGCTTAAAAGTGTTTATTTTTTTTGCTACGCACGCGTCGGGGTGCTTCGCGATCTTCGTACGTATGCGCTGTGATGTGTATGTGTGTGTACATATGTATGTATGTAATAAGTACGTACATATGTATTTAATAGCAAAGTTTTTTTTTGTTTTTGTTTATGTGAATGTAAAAGTGATTTGGAATTAATAAAATTGTAAATAAAAAGTTCATGAATTAATCAGAATTCATCTGCTAAATGTATGTTGTGTAAGTAAGCAGTTCTTTATTTTTTGTAACAACATTTTACTGTTTTAATGCGTGCATTAATAAACAGAATATGTCTGTATGTATGTACAGACATATGTATGTACATTCTGTTGTGCATAATCGCGTAACATGTTAATGCATCTTTGTTGGCGCGTGCTGCCTCTTTTTTCAATGTCACAGTTTGGCAGACAAAATGGCGCCTTAACAAAAAAGAAAGAGAAACAAAGTATAAAGAGAACTACATTTACTTGCTTTACTCTGCCGTATGTTTTCTTGTGGCTCCCTTGCGTCTATAACAGTTTTCTAACATGCTTTGTTAGCTGAGCGAATTAAATCTCGACGAACGACCCAACTTGTTGCAAATAAAAAACAAACAATAGAGCGTAGTAAGACAAAGAGAGCATGAGTAGCGGGGATAAGGATGTGAGGATGAAGTGGAAGCCATAAAACACCTGCATTTGTTAGTGGATCGAGTTCGTAAATAGCTGGAGTTTTGATTTTTGTTTTTCAACATAGTCTCCATCTAAAATATGCTTCCTGCTACTCAAAATAGTTGTTTACAAATGTATTACTTGTTGTTTAAAATATGTTAAATGCGTTCTTTAGACTTGGTGCTCTTGGTGCTCTTATAGTAATTTTCTCTCTTACTTTGATTCGGCGATCGTGTGGTGAATTTCTTCTAAGTTCGTTTTAATTGAGCTGGAAATTATGGTGAAGAGCTCCTGTGGACAGCGTTCATCTCGGAGAGACGGATATTTCTAAATCGACTTATCAAAATACGAAGCTTAGCGAAACACTTAGATAAAACAAGAGAGAACGCCACAGTCGAGCAAGCCCGACAGTAAAATACCCTGTACCCAGGTTAACTTCCGTCACTGAGTTAGTAGATAATTATGTATAAATTTAGTGTGCAAAGTTTGGTTTAGGTAACTAAGGTATTGACGCAATTCTGTAGCGGGGGCAAGGGGGGAAAATTCAAAAAAAAAAAAAAAAAATAAACTCGTCCTTTCCCGGACATAGGAGAATCTGGATACCAAATTTGGTTTATAGCTTTATAGTTTCTAAAATCCTTGCGTTCATCCAGACGGACGGACGGACGGACGGACATGTCTAGATTGATTTCTCTCCTCATGCTGATTCAGAATATATATACTTTATAGGGTCGGAGATGCTTCCTTCTGCATGTTACATACTTTGCACAAACCTAATATACTCTTTTTACCCTACGGGTACAGGGTATAATTATGAAAGGATATTTTTTTAAGAGTAGTTGTTGTGCCAAACATGTTGTGGGTTTTTTATGAGTTGAAAGATTTTTCGAAAAATTTAAATTTGCGCATGCAAAACAAAAATAAAAACCGTTGCGCAAAAGATGCCAGAAGCACTCACAGTTACCGTTACCAGAGAAAGACCGCAGCACAACAAACCGTAAGCCACAGACGACACGAAAAAGAAGAGCAAGAGAATTTTAAACGGTTGGTCGCTTAATTTTTTCGATTTTGTGGCGAAGCTTTGGCGAAAGCTTTCCATGGAGCTTTTGTATGACTGTTGCGGCGCTTAAACAACAACTTGTTGTTGGCGCCGTCGCTGTGGCTGCACAGGAATTCGGGAACTCGATGACGCGAGGACTCGAGGAGTCGGCACTCAGACTGTTAATTCATTCATCGACAGACTTTCGTGCGTTTCGGTTCAGCCTCAGCGCCAGCAGCGGAGCTAAAACAAAATAAAGCGTACAGCAAGCAAATCATCAGCCCCAACAATAACAACAATAACAGCAAGCAGTAGCAGCAGCAGCAGCAGCAACAGCAGCCAAATATTCAAACGTCAAGCGCCAAACAACAGCGACAACAGCAGCACCATCAGCAAGCCAATTTTTTTTATCGCGTACGCGCGCGTTTTACCGTTACATTCGAAATATTTGTACACAACAAGTACGAATTGTGTTTGTTTGTGTGCACGCGTGTGTGTGGGTGTTAATTTTTTTTTGTTATTGTTGTGCACCAAATGTGCAAAGCAAGTTGGCCAAAGCCAAGGCGTTCAATTTGTTTTCAAATTTGTTCATTTGAAGCAAATCATATAAAAAGAATTCATATTCATTCAAACAACTTTCGTTTGTCCAAATCGTGAGTAAAAAGTGCGGCAATTTCTTGAGATCGTAAATTCACAATATCAATAAAAAACACAAAACCCAAACATTTGTGTAAACAAGCTAACGGGGCTATTAGCGCATCTTTGGATTAATTTGTGTGAACGAACCAAAAAGGTGAGTGCAGAGGATGTTTATCCTATATTATGTATTTATAGAAATATGGAAATAAACACAGTTTAAATGTGGAAGGAAATTGAAAAGAGTGCAATAGTATATTGCATTAGTATATTGTATTTTATTACTAATATATGAGGAAGGAAAGATTATACAACAAAGTTATCTTTTGTTCAACAAATATATACATATTTCAGGAATTTGATTTAACACTTTCGTAATTACTGGAAATTGCAATTCGTTTTAAATATGTTTTTTGGCACGCGACTCTCCTGAAATCTGGTTATTTTATTATTCTCGTCTGACCAAATCACCTTCTTTTAATACTCAAATTTTTTGCTCTTTACAATTTGGGTCCGATTTCAGGTGGAGTGTAGAAAATATGCCTAAACGCATTAAATCGAAATTGATAAATTTGAATTATAGATATTATTGAGTTTTCTAGAAACATAAATAAAAAATATAAAGAAAAAGGTTTCAGATCAATTGTTGCATTTCTAAAAATTAATTTTATAGAGTTTGAAGTAAGATCGGGATGATTATGATGAAATCAGCAAAATTTCGTCGGCTACAAACTTTTTTTTCGTTTATATCCTAGTTGTGGAACGTAAATTCTGTTCCGAAAGGATTAAATTTGTTCCTTTATGTAAGCAAACAAATGTAGCTTAGCCTTAATTACAATTTTAAGTATTAAACAATTAATGAAAATAGTTATGCATTGTTCAGTCGTTCATAAAAAAGTTGGAGTAACTTATAAAGATTCAGAGATGAAAATGCCGTAAAATCGATTTTGTTTTTATAAATAGTGATCTATTAGATTTATGCAAATAGGAATAACATAAAATATTTAAAAACTTGAAATCAACTTGAAAATTACAAATATTATTGTGCTGTGAAATAAACAAGCGATGTTAAATTTTATAAATATATATAATATAATAATACAATACTCTTCTGAAAGAACGATACTTCTACTAATTAAACTCCCTTTTCACTCTAAGCTTGAATTTAAACAAGCAAGTTAAATTATAGTTATTAAAAAAACTGTAAGTGTTCTTTTTGGTTTTATTTTCGTTTAAAGATATTAGCAATATTTTCAGCCCATACCGCCCAACTGATATTAAAAAATTGTTTCTCTTCTGCATTTTTATCTTTCTGGAACTGCATAGTATACTTTTATGTACTATCTGTAGTTATTATTTGGATGAGCTCTGATATTTTGACTATTTATTTAATTGCTTATATCATTTATTTATATAATACGACTTACGTAATTCTGAAATTTTAATATCTTATATTTGTAGCTTATCTTAAATATTTATTATTTACATTTCTGTATAATCGAATAATTAATATTATTGTAATTTATGTGAATATAAATATATACATTTTATTGAAATTTTGAAAGAAAGGAGACTTCCACTTCGAAAATTAAATAAAATAAATGTAGTTTTTTAAAATCGGTAGCAAAGATAACAAACAAATGAGGATGTCTAAGCTTCAATATATTTTATAATTTATATTTATTTCATAAAATTGATGGGAATATCTAAGTGTGAATATAATTGAATATAAATAATTCCAAATAACTCCATGTTTCACATCACACTCTGAAATTTATCTTTTAAAATCGAATAATATCTTCCATATTTCTTATATTTCATATTTAATAGTTTTGAAAAGCTCTCATTAGCAGAGAGTAGCATTTGTTCAATTTATTTATACTCATATATAGTAGATTTATTCGAGGGTGTGGACATTGAAACGTTAACAAAAATATATTTTGGCAACGACTGCGAAACTGGCAACTGAGTCGCTTACCCCGGCAACAATTAACGAGTAATTTTGTTTAATTGCCTTCGCAGATAATAAATCATTTTCTTTGCATTTGCCGTCACTCGTTTCCTGCCTCTTCCGCCCCAACGCACCCTTTTCCGCATCCGAATCGTGGTGTGGGTTACAGTCAGCACTTGGCCTTAGACATCGGTGTTGAACGTTGCCGCTGTCTTGCCCCACTTTGTGACGTTATCTGTTTCTTGCTAATTAACTTGACTGCTTCCCATATACACACACACACACACACACACGCAGGCATACATATATAAAGGGAGAAAGTTGAAGCAACGTTTTGAATTTCTTTGGAATTCTAAAATCTCATTAAAATGTTCGTCAGTCGACTGCTGGCTGGGCTTGCAGCCGAAAGGATTATAGTGAAGCCAAAACCCTTCAACTACTAAACAACAGCAATAACAACAATAACTAAATATGTACAATAGGAATTTTGAGTGTGATGTGACAAATAGGAGCGCAAATTTATTGTAGTTGACGCGTTTTTGTGGCATTTCATGCGCGACTTTTCGCACCGCACCGCACCGCACCCAACCAATCAACCAACCAACCAACCAAACAGCCAATCCAACCATCGAAATAGATGAAAAACTCTTTGAATTTTCACAAAACCTATGCACATGTCCGTACATGTGTGTGTTTTTCTGTATCTGTATGTGTGTGTGTGTGTGTGTGTGTGTCTGTGTGCGCGCTTCTAGAATTTTAATAAAGCTACTAGGCGAATTCGTTTGCATATTTTGATACAAAATGTGAAATGTTATTTGCATATTGGGAATACATAGTGTCTACTTGTATGTGTGTACATACTCGTCTGAAACCGAACCATGTCCCTAAACACTTTTCATCAAAACATCAGAGGCTGTGCTATTAAAATTAAGCGAACAACTTTATTGAATTTATTCAACTAAATACGTTTTTATACGATTTCACTTACTCTTCACTGCTATAATAAGGGACTTAACTTATTACCTCACTGTATTATTGTATATCTATCCTTTAACCAAAAAAACAGTGCAGCAAGCTGTAAGCTTTCAATCCACTTAAGTTAATCAGCTGAAGATGTTCTAGGGAAACGCTTTCAGTATTTCCAAGAAATCAAAATCAAAATTATTATTATAATGATTAGCTGCAATTGATGTGAGCATGAAGTGGCTGCTAAGTCAAGTGTTGTCTGACTAGTGCCGTCTCAATTTCTCAACACAAAGAATTCATTGTTATCTATACCACCAAGGTCCCCGAACAGCTCTCGAGTACGCCCTGTGCTGAAATACTTACTAATCATGTGCTTGGTGTCCTTAATACAAAACACTTCAGGATCGGATTGAGTCGGTCCTGAAACAATTTCTTCCTAGTCTTAGCTGAGAGCCTGGGTTCCTTTATTTACCAATCTATTCTGCCGTCGTTAGCTAATCGTAAGTCTAATCTTTTAGGTCTTATGTTGTAAAACTTTTCTACTCTCAAGAGAACTCTCTGTTTCCTCGCTGAAAGCATATTTTTTTAACCAAAGATTCCCCTATTGTGTGAGACTACAAATGAAGGCATTCCCCCCTCGAGTCTTATTAATTATTAGATATTAATATTGGCTTATAGGGTTTTTATTACTTTTTACTTTATAAGTTTATTCATTGAATAAATCATTGATTTATGCAATACCGATTGAAAATTTGCGTTCGAAGGGTATTTTTTTGAGAGTTCAGATCGGTTTTGGATAAAGATATAATTTATGGATGTAAGGTCTTTCCGACCTTTGTAAGAGCTGAGTATAAGCCGACCACTATTTATATGTATAGTAGCTCTATAGTTTGTTTTGCTTCTCAAAATTTCTTCCCCCATTCGCTGGCACTTGTGTTTGCTTGTCAGTTGATAATGTGACTATTATCGTTCCCGTTACTTTGCCGCTTGCCATGACAACGTAATTAATGAAATATGAAATTATAATTTCATTTTTTGAAGCGTGACGCAGTCTCATGAATTTGTGCGCCATTAGTGTGAAGCACACAGGCAGATACTTGCATTCAAGTTTAAACTGAATGTCATAATGGCGTTAGGCTTAAACAAAAACAAAAACAACAACTACGCTAAAACTCTAAAAGGGGTCGTGATGAATTTAAAAGAAAACTAAAATATTGAGAACAATTGTTACATTTCTTTGAACATAAATTAGGGAATGAAAACAGAGAAAGAATGAGAAGAGTTGGGTGAAAATAAAGATACATAGTGGAAGAAAGTCTAAGGAGGAAGCAGTGAAAGAAAAGGGAATCAAAAATAGATAAATCAGAGAATGGCCTCTTTGAAATAAAGAATATCAAAACGGGACAGAAGTCGAGAAAGAAGGATATAGAAGAAATGCCGAGTGTCCTCTACCAATAGCATTAACTAAAATTAGTAGTAATAATTAGAAAAAGGAAACAGGAAATAAGTAGGAACCTAATCAGTGGGACACAGACGCTATTCATTAAAGACTCGCTTCTTAACCTTTCTCATCTTTTTTCCCCAAGTTTCTTGACTGAAAATTATAAAAAAAAGAAGTTGAGAAAAAAAGGTTGTGGAAGAAATGCAAAGTAGCTTCTAGAAATAGTATGAATGACAAAAAAGACTTAAAGAATGATCCTGAAATTTGTTTTTAAAGAAAATACCTTTTTCATATTCCGACGACAAATTAGAAAACATATTTCCTATTCAATTGGTACCTTGCGATCATAAGGGTGAGAAGAAAGGCATTTCTGTGGCTTATAAGCACTGTTTTGTATCAAGTACTATATATATATATATACATATATATGATTTTTTATTTGCTTTTAGTTCAAAGCGATAGTCCAGTATTGTAAATATTCGGCAGAGCTCTTCTAATTCGAACTTAATGAACGACTCAAATAAATCTGAAAGCGGAGGGTGCGCGTAGAAAAGTAGAAAAGAGAGTGCGTGAATAGTGGGAGTGGAGGGGGCGAGGGTGTGCGAGCAAAAGCATATTTGGTGGCAATTTGTTAAATGAGAAATGGGCTGTGATATGGGAAAAATTAAAGAGGATTTGCAGTGCGAATGTTTGTGCGGCAGGCAACGAGACCATTGAAAATTGTTCTTCTCTCTCACGGCAGCGGGGGGGAAAAGAACAATGCCGAGGTGCGAGACGTACGTTCCCATTTGTTACAAAT